TAACAAATTTATTAGAGCATAAGCTTTCGTGGACTACAGCCCACTTCTTCAGATGCATGATTCCTTCATTTGGTTACCCACTGTGGTTTAACCTGAGTACAAAGAACTTTTCAGTTTGATAGATACTAAGCACTAGATTTGTAGACAGGGCCAGTGGAGCCTCTAGGCGGTTGCCTTGGGCACCAAGTGGTTGGGGGCACCCACTGGGTCTTAGTTTCCACCCACCTGGTTTTCCTATCTCTGTTCTGACCCTTCTTGCAGGCTCTGAGTCTTCCTGGGAAGGGGATCTAGTAGTTAAAAGAGAAAAAGCCTCCATTCTGCCAGACCTATTAGCACAACACTGAAACTGTTAAAGAGCCATTCAAGGGGTAATGAAGTCACTTAACAGGCATTTGCCACCCCCGCCCCCCCAGGTGTATATATATGTACTGACAAAAACAGCTGTGCATGACTGTCATATTTACTCAGGACATGTCAGTCTACAGGACCTTAGTTTAAAATTTGCTTTAAAAATATTTCATTAGTGAGTTGGTGAAGATTATAAAATCACATCTCTAAAAAATTCTTGCATAGATTTTTAGATGCACAATCATTTTTAGTCTTAAATGCTTGGATCTTCAGACATATGGTTTTTTAAATAAATCCTTCAAAAGACCATCCTTATCTAAAATACACATTTCAATTACTATAGTAAAAAAACTTACTTCCAAAGTCTTTCTGTCCTTTCTGTTCATCCATTTCTCCCTTCAGCCCCTCTCCCCGCACCCACATTGGAGAGAGCCTTTAAACAGACAACAGCCCTTTGCTTCCAGATAGCTGGACAAAGAGTTTCCCTTTCTTTACTTCTGACAATCTGATGAACTAGTTTTAAGCAAAATCAGTACCTTAGTAAGATATAAAATCCTTTGTTATGCCTAAAATCTTTGCAAACATATTTTTTAAAGTTGGTGAAATTTCATGAATATGTGTATTGTTATGGAGATCAGACACAGTAAATTAGTGTTCCCTTTTTCTAAAAGCAATGAAAATTGTTATGAACACACTAAAACTCTGTGAATGATTAATTTAAAATAATGTCTGTTTCAGTGAGTTAAATATATAGTAATCTGGAATGATTACTTTATGAAGGTTTAAGCGTACATTTAAAATATAAAATCAGCTTAGAAATACTGATTAAGACAATGTAAAACCGAGAAGAACTGCATCATGTATTCCATAATATTTAATAATGTATTCAGCAAGACAGCTGACTCACCCTTACTACAAAGTTTTAGCAAATAAATGTCTGACAAACTTCAGGGCATATCAAAAAACCTGTGACATTTTTTTATTGCCAAATTTAGTACTTTTAATTAGATACTTTCTGCACGTCAATTCTGTGTGAGGGAGAGGGTACAGGGGTCTCTGCGGGGAACTGTGACTCTCTGCCACCATGAGGCGGGCCGGGCATCTTGTTATTCTTTGTGCTTTGTCCCTCCGCCTCTGCCGGGCTGCAAGCTCAGGCTGCCCTCAGGCATAAGGGCACCAGTTTAATAATACTGCATAAGGCCCCATAAATCCTAAGGATGGCCCTGGGGGTGCCAAAAAGCAGTGCTCTGGCTCAGCAGGGAGGAGCCGCCTTCTGGAGGCACTGGAGAGCCAAAGCGTCAGCTTGCAGGGGCAGCGAGCCCCAGCCATGGAGGAGCCATCGCAATGCAGAGGGGCAGGAACCCTGCAAAGGCAGCAGCACCACTAGCAGGGAGCAGCTGTGCCTCTTGCCCCTCCTGCCCAGGCTGCAGCCTGGTGCCCTCCCCGGGGGCTCCTGCAGGCTGCAGCAGATGCATGCAGGCAGAGGCCCCCATGTGCCCCCCAGCTCTCCCCTCATTGTGCTTGGGCTCTGCAGCTCCCGAGCATGTGAGCCACTGCCAGGGCGCGGGGACCTGAGTCTGCTCCAGGAGGCACAGCAGTGGCTCACGCTCCTGGGAGCCGCAGTGCCCGAGCACAGAGAGGGAGGAGCTGGGGGGTACACAGGGGCCTCTGCCCACATGCATCCACTACAGGAGCCCCTGGGGGGGGTGCCTGGTCACAGCCTGGGCAGGAGGGGCAAGGGGCAGGGCTGCTCCCCGCTAGCAGTGCCGCCACCTTTGCAGGGCTCCTGCACCCTGCGCCGCACCAGCTCCTACATGGGTGGCTCGCCGCTGCCGCAAGCAGGATGCTCTGGCTCTCCAGTGCCTCTGGAAGATGGCTCCTCCCTGCCAAGCTGCTGCAGCAGCCCAGGCCCAGCAAAGCCAGTGAGTGGACTTGGGGTGGGGGCCGGTGGGGTGGGGAGGGCTCACGTGGGGGGTGCACCCTCCAGGGGAGTTCAGGGGGTGTGGAGGGGGGAACCTGGTTTGGGGAGCAGCCCCTGGGTACGGCTGGCCCCTGGGGTCTATAAAGGCTTGTTGGGATTTGCCCCTCAATGAACT